AAAAAAAAAAAAAAAAAAAAAAAAAAAAAAAAAAAAAAAAAAAAAAAGAGCTCCCCCATTTCTGATCTCATCCAATGTTTGGTGGGCACTACCATTCCTGTAGATTTTTTCATTCAATAACGAGCTACTTAGATTATATTCTCCTGTCTTCCATTTGGGTAATTTGCTTAAGCCCATCCACCAAGAATTATAAGGGTATTTGGTCATTTGAACCTTCAAGTCCTTTCGTTGTATAAAACATCACCATCATGAGCCTAAGTACTAAAGTTCTACGAAATAAAAGTAACGGTAGGAAGGCAGACAAAGAATCAGATTAAGTAAAACTTGATCGAAGTTGTATTAGAAAATACCAATACTATCAAAGCCGTTTGTACTCCCAGGCCATCCAGGCAAACTTCCTGCATTCCTTGCCCAAGCATTTTCGAAACTGTCTAGTTCATCTGTAGATTTACAACAAACGCTGGCCATCGTAAGCATCCAGTTTACACAAACACAAAAACAATTGGGCATGAATAGTTACATACCTCCATTAAGATTATGCAAAGTTTGCATGGTATCCACCTTACCATCAGGGTTCAGTTTCCTTGTAACTGAATGACCCTAAAAGAAACACATTCACAAGTTGTATCAAACAAATAATTAATGGATACAAATGGGAGGACATTAATCTCAAGGGGTCAAATCTTTTCTTTTCTTCGTCATTACCTTATTATGGAGTCCTCTTGAAACTTTATGGGTTGCCTGTCGGCTTGCCGTATCAGCTTCCTTGCTTTCTTCAAAAACCACCTATTTACAAAAAAAAAAGAATAGACAAATGAAGAAATAAATCTTCCAAGAAAAATCAACTCCTTAATGGCATTTAAGTTTCACTTACACCATCACTTCCTGCCCTTCTTGTTCTTGATGAAGTATAATATGTCCCATTCGAGCTTCCATAAGTTACAGAGGAGCTCTGAAATGTGAAGCTATTAGTTTGAGGTCGGATATGTCTGTGATTTGATCCACTGTGATGATCCATGCGCTGCAACTGTCTTTTCCCATTCTCTGTAACAACAAGAAAGGAAACAGTTCGGCATTACAGATTACAACTGAAATGCATAAAAGCAAGCAAAAGAATGACAAACACAACAATCCAGACAAGTCTCACACTCACCTTCATCATCAGGGTCTTCAACAAGAGGCTCCTTGGATGAATTCTTTGGATTTTTACTCTCGTTTCCTGCTTCTTTTTCATCATCTGAATTTATTTCCTCAATAATCGGGCCTCTCGGCCTTTTAGGCTCGGGGGCCTGATGATCAAGGAATCCAGATGGATGCATGCTTGCAAAAGGCATTCCAGGACCACCAGGGAAGCTCGAATCAAACATGCTTCCAAAGGGACTTCTGAAGAAAGGATCATCAAATGGATCCCTTCCACCAAAGAAACCAGAAATTAAGCTTCTTTGACCTGGAAAGCCTCCAAACCCAGCAAAGGGGTCACCAAAATCAAAAAATTCATCCCTGCCCCCTCTGCTCTTTCTATGCATCGTTACAGTTCACGAAAGGACCCTGGAAGAAAGACAAGGCACGATGATCAAGAACTTAAACCAAGCCAATGATGAAAGATTCGGCATGATCGGCTTGATATAAAGGCAAAGCTCAAACTAAATAATCAAGCAACTCAACGATAAGGAAAATTCCTCCAGGATTCTCCTAAATCGAACATAATTGATAATGATGCAACAAAAACCATAATCAAATTAAATAAAAACAAAAATATTATTATAAAAAAAAAAAAAAAAAAAAAACATAAAATCCACCATTTCCACTATACATAATCAGACTAGCAAAAGCGATAACAAAAACTGAAATTCCAAATCAAAAACCAAAAGAAAAATAATAATAAAGAAAAGCAACCAACAACGCATAACACAGCGACAAAAAAAAACTCCTCATACTTCCAAAGAAACCAAAGCCAAAAAAGAACCGTAGACATCAAGATGAACAGCATTCAAGTTTTACAAACATGTCAAACCCTAGATAATCCGATCCTGTTAAAGAGAGAAGCGGTACCTTCAGCGAAAAAGATACGTAGAAATTCGCAAGCGTTCTACAAAATTACTCCGGTAGACTAAAAAAATTAAAACACGATCGCCTCAACGAAATTTCCGGGAGTAAGAATTTCACGAAGGGAAAAAGGGAACCCCGGAGATTCACCGACTGGGAAATTGAAGGCCGAAGAAAAGGAGAGAGCGACGTTCGTCCTTGAAATCGATGGTTCCAGATTTGATATGGTGGACACGTGTCGGTACTGAATGGTTTGGCATATCAAATCAGAATAATGGGCTTTTTTGTTTGGGCCGAACTCGGCTGTTAAATGGATCAGATGAAAGCCCAAAACTCAAATTTGTTCCTAATAAATTCGGTTAAATTACATTAAAGTCCCTATAGTTTTCAAATTTTTACCTAATAAATTTTGTATTTCCAATTTTGATGATTAATAAATCTTAATTTATTAAATATTTTTGAAAATTATGTACAAAAATGAAATGTCACACGGTTGTTTTTAACAAATGTGAATAGGAGCGTACACGGGATTAGGTTGGGTTAGAAAAATCTTTAAGACCGACTTGAGATTTTAGGTTGGTTAGGTTGAAGACCCGAACAACTTAAATAGATATCATAACTCAACCCCCCGATCTCCTTCAAAAATCAACGTGTCGGTACTTCAATTTCTAAAATTGGCAATTTTACAATTCAGATTCAGAGCGCGAATCTGTACATTCCTAAGAATTTGAAGAGGGGATCTCTCTCCATCTCAATTGAGACTCACCCCATTGGGGGAGGCTTCGGAGAACCCATCCCCCGATCTCTTTCAAAAATCAAGGTGGCTCATCTTGCTCGAGAGCGCGAGAGTGCTTCTTACTCAGATTCTCAGGCTAGGGCTCGTCTACTGCAGTATTACACCAACTACCGCTTCTGGTTCTGGGTCTGCAACCATAAATTTGCACAGTACATAGTCTATTTAAACCTGAAATTGTTTATGAACCCGCATAAGCCTAAGAGTTACCGGTTGGTCTCACCTTTAGCTAAAAAGAACGACTCTTAAATTTTTAATTTCATCAAATTATACTCTAAACTTAAATAAGTATTTTTACTCCTTTTAATTATATATATATATATATATATAATTAATGTAAAAATGTTAAAAAATGAATCAATATTAATAAAATAAAGTTTTTCATTGGAATAAGTTTAATTAAGGTACAAATTAATTTTTCAACAATTTTGTCAGAATTCATAAATTTTAAGCAACATTTTCTCTAAAATTTAATTAAATTTCCTTGAATTTTAAATTTTATTAAAGGAATAAGATTTTTTTTAATTATATTTAGAGAGAAAATTTATTATTAGGTTAAAATTAAAATACTTTTAAAATATTTTTTGTTACGGAATTAAAAAATAAATAAATAAATAAAAACCATTTTTTTTTAATTTTGCATAAAAATGGAGAACCATTCATTGTCCGGTGCTGCGTTCGCCGTCAGCACCAGTGGTCGTCGTCTTCCCAGGCTCAAAGCCCTTAGAAGCTGTAGAGGAAGCTCATCGCTGCTAACTCGTTTTCAAGGTACCTTGGAGAAAGAATGGCGGTCATTAGAACCACCACAAACATGATCCTCAGAGAAATCCTTCATTCGCAACCCTATTTTACTCTATCAGTACCCCCACTCTTCCCTGCTACTTTGAACAATCCCAATGCCGCTTTGCGATTCCGGCTGCGTGAGATCAGTTTTGGTCGTGTCATATGTGCCGCTTCGGAGTCGTCCGGTGCCGGAGGAAAGGTATCTTCCCGCCTGTCGCAGGTTCAGCAGCTGTTGCAAGAGGCGGAGGAGCGCGCTCTATCGGCTGACGTCGAACCCGCCCCTAAAATCACTCTCGGTATGTCCCGAAAATCACTCACTAATCTATTGTTTAAAGTGATTGTTTTTTTTACTGCGTCAATTGGTAGTTGTGGTAGTATAATCCCCTGAGATGTAACGTGTATGGTTGCTAATTCAAGCCAGAGGGACTACTCGTCGATATAGGTTCACTTTTGTCTATTTTCTCTAGCCCTAAATTATCTGAGTGTAAAGTAGCTCACATCCATTGAAACTGCTCGTAGCTACTTTGAAGAAGATGAGTCTTTTGTCCAATGGATGTTGAATCACTGAAACTCCCGGATTTTGTTCAGTTTGTGACATATCTTCTAAGAATAATTTACTGAACCCTTGAATGTCCTTTTCCTTTCTGATTTTGATTCCCGGAAATGCACTCACTTTCCTTCTTGTTTTTTTTCTGATCCTGGGCCGAAGCCTTGCACTTCACTATGCTGCGTGCTTTAGAAACATTGGTTTATAGCTAGGCTTGTTGCACTTGCACATGGAAGAACTAACACTATAACAAGGAAACATGGTGTTTAAATGAAGTTGTTATTCCAGGGCTTTACTCGATTTCAACCAATAAAGAGAGAACTATTAAAGATGGTTTGGATAATGCTAATGCTTGTTGGAGTTTGGGATTAAGAGAAATCTTAATGAAAAGGAGCTTGAAGAATGTCTCTTTTTGAATTCTTGATTGATGATTTCAAGCTGAATGATATGGATTATGGCAGGTTATTGAATATGGATTCCCTCTGAACCTTCTCTAGTGCATTTTCCATTGAGAGACAACAGAGTGGTTGCCAAAGAAAAAAGGTGTTGTCTGTTCTGTTGCGAGCTCAGAGAAAATTTGCATTTCATTCCTCTGGTTTTCAATTTGTATGTCTGATTTTTCATCAAACAATTTGCAGTTTCAAAGAGATTTTATTTAATACACTTTCTTCCTCTTTCTAAAGAACTCTCTCTAGTGCATCCATGTATAAACGTATATAGGGTGAAATGCTAGGTGCTAGAGTCTTAGTAAGAGCCTTTTTACATTCAAGTGGAGATGGAAAATCCACTGGAGTGTGATTTTTTCTTTTGGAATTTTTACATGGAAAGCTAAGTACTTTGGATGCAATAAAAAAGAAGAACCTAACTTGTTTATCTCCTTCTAGGAGCTATTTTAATCACAATTATATTGACTTTCAAGGAAATTGAAGATGCTTTTATAGCTCCTTTGATAATGGAAAGGAACGTTATGACTACTCTTCAATTGTCGCAGAATTGCAAAGATACAAAAAAAAAAAAACAGATGCTTAATCACAAGAAAAAGGAGCTATTAGTGGCAGGAGAATTTCGGCCAATCAGTTTCTAATTGGAGAAAATGGTAATTAAAATGAAATTGAGAGAGAGGAAGACGGATGATTTGAGAAAGTTAGATAAAGATGTGTGTTACTAGCATTTGTGGGTGAAAAGTGAAGACCCAAATGTTGGTTTGTCAGAGCAGAAAGACATTTTTGGTAATCATCATAGTGAAAGAGAGAAACTTTGAGGCTAAGATTAGAAGATTAGATAGAAAACCATGGTATGTTCCTTCTGCCCAATATTATAGACCAGTGCGGAGCTGGATTAGTTCAAGATATTCTTTTTCCTATTCTGTTGCTGTACAATATAAATGGATTCGTGCACCCAAATAGGAGAGGGGAGTGCACTAGATCATTGGAGAGATTGTGGATTTGATGCAATTTTATGCTCCCGTAGGGGGCGATACAGGGGGAGGAGAATTTAGAAGGGGACTTGATCAATGAGTTGGAACTTGTAATATGAGGTAAGGATGTTGAAGCCAATGGAACATGGGGAATCTGAATTAGCAGATTGAGTAGCATTTCTCAAGGCTACACAGATTAGGAGACTTTAGCTTTGTTTTGTGGGAAAACACAAATTATGTTATTGGTCACACCACCTCCCCTTCGCTTCAGCGACTTAATTTTACTGGATTCTTGACTTCAAAAAAGTTCAACCTCTCCTTCCTGTACTTTGTTCTGAACTACCTAAAATGAAAATTCTTTTTCTTGTAGTGCGTCACTAAAAGTTCTCTCCTCATATAAAACCCAAGTCATTTTCCTTCCATTGCAGCAAAACACCAGTCAGGTGTTCAAATCATTTATTTCTTCTCTAATTCTTTATAGATTTAATTTCTCTATCAGTCTTGTCCACAATGGAGATGCTAGGAGAATTTTGTTGATAGAACACCACAATTCTTTGGCTAATATATCCTAAAAAGGGAAAGGATATTCAAATTTTTTGTAGTTTCCTACCCTTAAAGGAAAAAGATTCTCTAATCAGCAATTGCTATTCTTTTCCTGTCCCTCAGATCACGTCACTGTGAATTTTGCAAGAAGTGGTGGCCCTGGAGGTCAGAATGTCAATAAAGGTCAGTTTATTTTCTTGGCTCTGATTGGTTTTGTTTCTACTTTAGAGTTGCCTTTTTCTTTATGAGGTATCATTTCTGTAAATGATAGTGCAGTGAACACGAAGGTTGACATGCGCTTCAATGTTAAAGATGCATATTGGCTAAGCGAGAGAATCAGGGAAAAGATTATGCAAACGGTTTGTTACTTAATTTTCTATTACATATCTTTCCTCTCCTTCCCTCGAATTAAAGTGCCAAGTTTTAGAAAATTTCCTTTCTGTCTTTCAAATCCGCACAACATTGAGATTTGTATGGTTTAGGGACTGGAAAGTACTTGTAAACTGTAGTTATTTATCTCATTTTAATACAATTAATATGGTTTTGTTTTTTAGAGAGAGAAAAAAATCTGAATCAATACAGTATGATCCTGGTACTTGGAAGTGGTTCAAGTGTTAATTAATCTTTCGTCACGATATTACTCGTCTCTTTCTGTCTCTTTCTCGACATGAATATTGCTTCGCTGAACAGGAGAAAAATCGGATCAACAAGGATGGGGAGCTTGTAATTTCATCCACTAAAACTAGAACGCAGAAGTAAACTTCTGTCCTCTTCATCTTCCTTATTTCCTCCCATGTTTGTTCTACCAAAAAGACTTGTTAACTTTTCCTCTCTTCATTTCTTCAGGGGTAACATTGAAGATGCCTTGGAGAAACTTCAGGTACTTGCCTTCCCATAGGATCCTTCTCTTCTTGTCTATTTAATAGCGCATATATGGAAAGTAAAATAGTCTATGGCCATTTCTTGGAAGGTAGATTCTGCATTGTGCTGTAGTTTCTTAACTGAATTTTAATTTCCAATAATGGGGTTGTTTCTATATGAAAATCAGGCAATAATTGATGCTGCTTCTTATGTCCCGCCACCTCCCTCAGAAGAGCAAAAGAAGAAAATTGCTAAGATGTGAGTTCTTTCAACTTCCTTGGCCACTTGATTTCAAAAAGTTTATCTCCCATGATGTATTTAAATGTAAGGTAATACTTCTTGTATTTGTTAAGGGCTGCCATTGGAGAACAGAAACGCCTTAAAAGCAAGAAGGTCCTTTCTGATAAGAAGGCGTTTCGAAGGAGTCGAGGCAGTTGGGATTAACCACATTGCTACTGTAATGTTCATCAACATTACGACTTCGTACTTACCAACATTTCCTACGAAAGATACTAACTTCCCCATTTTGTTTTTTTGATTGATTTCACAGCTTGCTATTTTAATTCAGGAAAATAATCCAAGATTTTCAAAAAGAAACCATACAAAGAAAAACCTGTTAGAAGCAGGGAGATTTGCTTCCTATCACAGGTGATTTCTGGAAATTTGCTAGAAATAGGTATAAGATAACTTATCTTTTTATTTGATTGGTGCATGATATATTTGAAGCACCAGCTTATATTAGATTTTATGGAACTTCCCTTCTGTAGATGCAAGAACATCGACTCACAATGTCTCGTTTCATCAATGTATGTTAAACTAATATCAATTCAGCTGTAGCTTGTTTTTATTAGCTTTGTTGATGTCATGAGCATGCCTAAGTTGGTTCATTTTCAGAAACCACGATATGAAAAATAAGTAATTTTACCAGGAAGTATAGTGTAGTCAGCTAGTTGTATCTGAGCCCTTGATTTTTCTTCTTCTTCTTTTTGTTGCTACATAAAGGAACTTTAATCAAGATGGCTTTGCCTTATCTGTTGGAGATGGTCTGATTATCTAATTTTGGAAGAGTCTAGTGACTTGGGAAGGATTCTGTGGAGTTTCTTTTCCTAAACCTTTTTAACTTATAACAAGACATAACGGCCCAAGTCCACCGCTAGCCGATATTGTTCTCTTTGACTATCCCTCAAGTTTTTTATTGTGTCTATTAGGGAGAGGTTTCTATACCCTTATAAAGAGTGTTTCGTTCCCCTCTTCAATCAATGTGGGATTTCACTATCCACCCTCCTTCGGTGCCAGCGTTTTCGCTGATACTCGTTCCCCTCTCCAATCGATATGGGATTTTACAATCTATCTCCTTTTGGAACCCAACGTCCTCGTTGATACTCGTTTCTCTTTCCAATCGATGTGGGATCTCATAGTAGAGATAAAAAAAAGGTTTGAGATAATAGTGCCAGTGAGAGGTAGAACTTTGGTTTTTGAAGTTTTGGAGGAAGCGACCAAACTGATTCAAGTTAATTGAATTTTAGGTTTCACAGTTATCTGGTTTCGAACATTTTGTCTATCACAAAATTGAATTTAGGGTTTTACAGTTATCTAATTTGAACATTTCATCTGACGAGATTGCAATAAAGTTGGTTATACATTCCGAAGGTCTAAAATTAGAATACGTAGAATATTGATATATCTATATGAAAAGAAAGGGAGTCTTGATTTCATTGATGTCTTTATAAGCCAATTGTTGTTTCTCCTTCATCTTTGGATAGATAGTATAGCAAGGAGGAATAGGTCTCGGCTTATACATATTGATGATACCGACATCAAGGTCGAGATCAAGTGAACTTGATGATAGTGGTTCAATTTTGTTTGAACTAATTAGATGTAGAAATGCTATACTTTTTTTCATTGTGTATTGAGCTTCTAAGCTATAAATGAATAAAGCTAGGATCGTATTAATGTCTTGAAGTTCAAAGTTGATGAACGTTCTCCCATGTCCCTAAAGTGATCGTTCCCTTCTCATTTTCTATTTTATTTAAATTTTAATGATTGTTAACCATTATTAATAATTTGTCACTTAATTTTTAAAGGAGGAATTTATTTTTCTACAATTTAATGTTGTGAAAACGAAAAATAGTTTATAAGATCATTTTTTTAAAAACTATTTTACAATTTGTTACTGTTATTAAATCATCATCTATTTGAAATATGATACGCATAATTAATTATTTACGATTAAAAATTTGTATAATTTTATTAAAAACTATTTATTTTAGAATAATTACTATTATTCATTAATAATTAACTTTAAAATCTAAAATTTAAGTTATATTATTTATAATAAATTTATTAATCCGTTAAAATTTAATTAGTTAAAATTATAATAAACAAACTAATAAGAAATGTAATAAAATGGTAACCCTTTGAAATAAAACCTGAAACATTGCTTCACTGAAGACTTTCATCGAACACACGCCGAACACAAGCTCAGATCTATCCGTAGTGATGCAGTTTGGAGCAGAGGCGCATATACGTGGCGGCAAGTTCATACCTCCTCTCTAACACGCGTCACGTCTTCCACTTCGATCCCCCACAGTTCCTATGTTCCTCTGATTTAAGCCCTCACAATTTGCTCAATAACCCCACAAAATGCACCGTTCATTACCCATTTTCAAGTTCTGCAAATTACTCATCAATGGATGCACAATCCGCCGTGGGTTTTGCTCATCGGACACCCAATCCCACTTCAGCAACGCCGCCGGGGCTATGGCTGCCCATTTGAAGTCTCGCTCTGTCATTCGGTTTCGGGGTCCCGACACCGTCAAGTTCCTTCACGGTCTGTTGACCAATGATGTGCGGCGGTTTGGGGAACCTCCGGGTGAGAAAACGTCGTCGTTGCCCACCCCCAATTTGGCGCCGGTGTCGGTTTCGCCTATGTATGCGGCGATGTTGACGCCGCAGGGGAGGTTTTTGTATGATTTGTTTTTGTATAGGCCGCCTAGGTCTGAAGAGAAGCTTGATCGGACTGGCTCTGGGCCTGGTCCGGCTTCGGATGAGTCCGTGGAGTTGATGGCTGATGTGGATTCTTCTGTGTTGGATGAGCTTTTGGTGACGCTGAAGAAGTGAGCTCTTTGTTAGTCCCTTTGCTTAAACTGTTCTTTGTTTTGGTTCAAATTGTTGATTTGTTTGCTCCTTTTTGGTGTCAGTGATGCAATTTTGATTGTGTTGTGATTGAATTGCTAAGTTTCTGGTTCTCCTCGAGTTTGATCATGTTTACATACAAATTTCTTATGCAATGATCATTACCCATCATGATAGATATCATTTAAGTTGAAGAACTTGTAGCTGGATACACTGGGATTCTACTAGACCCAAGTTTGAAATGGCTTGTTTGAGTATTCAAATCATGTTCATCAGGGTAGACTGGATATCGAGTTTTCAAATAGATGTAGGTTCTTGGAAAATGACCATGAAAGCTTAACTGAAGCTTAGGCATTGAAATTTCAAGATATGAACAAGCAAGAAAGTTTAGTAGGATTTAAACCTATATTATAACGACTAATCGCCCGATAAACCCGTCTTTCCGTTACTGTTCTACAGATACCGCTTAAGGTCCAAGGTTGATATTGAGAATGTGGCAGAGGAGTTTTCTTGCTGGCAACGCTTTGGTAAAAAGCTCTCTAGAAAAGCTTCCTCTGCTGAGGAACCAGAGGCTGCAAGTGTTGGTTGGGGTGCTAGTGTTGATCCTACAGCAATGTCGGCTTCGCGTGGGGAAGACATTGGCTGGCAATGGTTTCAAGATCCAAGGTTGGACTGCCTTGGTTTCAGAGGCGTTTTTCCATCGAATGGGACACGTATGTTTCTCTCATGCTCTGAAGGGTCTTACGAGTTTTTAGTACTATGAAGTTTGAGTGGATTATTCATTCATCATGTATGGTTTATAGCTAAGATTCTTCTGATAGTGTTCTTCCGGTTGTATTTGTTAAAGCTCCTCTTGTTGAGGCGGATAAAGAAACCGATGAAGATAATTATGTAATGTGGAGACTAGAGAAGGGCGTTGCAGAAGGTTCAACTGAGATTCAAAAAGGTTCGTTTCGATTTCTTAATACTGGTGGCCAACGAGTCATTTCAATGCTCTAGAACTCTGTATCTTGCAATTTATAAACCGAGCTCTTTCTGGTGTTTCTCTGCTAGTCGATAGAATATACGACACACCGATCTCTTGTTCATTGTATTTGATGGGTTCTTTCTGTTTTGGTCTGTGGTTTGATTTGTTTTCTGCTGCTACGTTGCGCCGAGTGGCTTGTGAATCTCGAATTCTTATGCTCTTTTGGTTTGGATCCTTCTTTAATCCTTGTAAAGGTGAGGCGATCCCCCTTGAATACAACCTGGTGGGTCTAAATGCAATAAGTTTCGACAAAGGGTGCTATGTCGGGCAAGAGCTTGTAGCTCGTACACACCACAGGGGAGTTATCCGAAAACGTGTAGTTCCTTTGAGGTTTCTAAATGACAGAGGGGAAGGTAACCAATCTTTCACGAACTGTTTCGAGCTTTTTCTAGCTTGAATCTCAATTTCACAACCTTGTTAAGTGAGCAACTCCTTGATTATCTTTCAGATGTAGAGCACAAAGTATCAACTGGATCGGAAGTAGTAATCAACTCCGCATCCAGCAAGAAAGTAGGTAACGTGATTGCTGCGGTCGGGTGCCGTGGACTCGGTCTCTTGCGCTTGGAGGAAGCGTTCAGAGGATCACGAAGTTTGGCCATTCAAGGGCTCGAGGGCGTGACGGTTGAAGCCATTAGACCGGAATGGTGGCCGGCTGAATGGTATCAGGAGCATCAACAACACAATACTGCTGTTGCATAGAGTTAAAGAACTGCTACTCGGTTTGATAAATCCTGCATAGCTTTCAGGCATGGTTGTATTTATTGTTAGCCACGTTACTAATAATTCAGAAGTATGAACCTTAAGAACTTTCAATATTACCTCTTGATTTTGAATTATATTTGTATTCAAACCCAAATCTTATTTCTTGAAAATTGAGATAAGATTCAAGTTTTGTTCGGCACGCTTATGTATGGGACAAGATTCCCGCACGAACATCTTTCTTATTCAGATGAAGTCGAGTTTTGGTGTAACAACTTAAGTCCTTGCTAGTTGATATCATTTGCTTTAATTTGTTACGTATCGTCATTAGTCTTACGGTTTTAAAACGCGTCTATTAGGAAGAGGTTTTTACATTCTTATAAAAAATGTTTCGTTATCCATTCCGAGGTGGGATCTCACAATCTACCCTTTTGAGGGCTAGCGTCTTTGTTGGCACTTGCTCGATGTCTAGCTCTAATACAATTTATAACAGTCTAAGCTCATGCTAGTAGATATTGTCAATTTTGGTTTGCTATGTATTACCGTCAATCTCATGGTTTCAATACACGTCTACTAGGGAGAGTTTTCACATGCTTATAAGAAATGTTTTGTTTCCCCCTCAAAGCGATATGGGATCTCAAAATCCACTCCACTTGGAGGCCAGTGTCCTCGCTAGCATACACCCTTATAAGGAATGTTTCGTTTCCCTTTCCAACTGATGTGGGATCTCACAATCCACCTCTCTTGGGAGCCAGCGTCCTCGTTGGCACATCGCCCGATGTCTGGCTCTGATATCATTTGTAACAACCTAAGTCCCCACTAGTAGATATTGTCTGTTTTGGCCCGTTACCCATTGTCGTTAGTGTTACAGTTTTAAAACACATCTACTAGGGAGAGGTTCCCACACCCTTATAATGAATGCTTCGTTTCCTTCTCCAATCAATGTGGGGCCGTTAACCTCACGGTTTTATAGTGCGTCTACTAGAGAG